AAAATGTTTGAATCCCAATTTCCCAAAAATTTCCCAAAACTCTAATAAAACTTCAAGGTCATGGCCGAGGATTTAGCTCAGTGGTTCCGGTACGTGCCGCGCAAGCGCACGGTTCTGAGTTCGATCCCCAGTACCAAAAAACAAAACAAAATCAAAACTTCAAGGTCATAACCAGGCTAAGCATGATCTTGGTTGAAGATGTGGAATAAAAATATGTATTCACTGAATGGGAGTAATTACTCATTTCTCATTTAAGCTATTATTTGTGGTCTGTATCTGTTTCATTAAAAAAAGAAAAGCATCAAAGAATATACAAAAATGAACACACCCATATATTAGACAATGTGAAATTGCTAGGCTATAATGCGTTAGGAATTAGTACGTTGTAGGGCTAGCCAAACCAAAGTTATGACGTAAATTTAAGACAAAACCCTATTTTTTTTTTTTTTTTTTGGTACTGGGGATTGAACTCGGGTCCTTGCGCTTGGAAGGCAGGCAGCGGAACCACTGAGCTAAATCCCTGGCCCAGACAAAACCCTATTTTTGTATGTACAAATATTATTTAGTGTAACTGAATACCAATTCTACTCACTTGATCTAAGATTTCAAATCCTTCAGACATACTATAAAGAGAACTGGTACTATAAAAAACAAATGCATAAGCATTCAAGAGGTTTATTTAAAATGGTATGTACAATTCACAGCCTGTAGTCTACTTTGAATTTAAGCTTCACACTGAATGGAAGAAAAAGTTGAAATACACAGGAGGAAGCCAGCCTACATCTACCGCCTCTCAATGAATGCTGCTGAAAGGCATTTGGAACAGATCTTATACCTTGGATCCCACTGCTCCAAAACTCCTGCTAGTGAACTTGTTCAAGCGTCACTTCTTCAGAAAGGAAACTTGCCTGATCTAGAGCTGGTGCTTAAGGGCTGATGATTCTTGGTGCCCCTTTTTAAACACACCCTATAATCTGCCCCTTAGGGAAAACTGAGCATCTGAAGATGGTGACTCCACTTAGAAATGAAATGCCTGGCACATAGTAGTTGTTAGCTGCATGCCTGGCAAAGGTATTCATAAAGCCATGCTCCGCCTACCTGAGGGGACCGGGTGCAGGGACATTTTTCCGTGTCAAGAAGTAATTCTCGGGTCCTAAGCTTTCTTTCCGAGTGTGGAGTGGCCATTTTTTATACTAAACCAAACCGTAATAAAAACTTTATGAAAATAAATGAACCAGGTTTAATTTTTTTTTAGCAAACTTGAATCTATTTTAATATACCTCAATTTTCTTACAGCTATTTAAAGTGCATAGTCCAAAAAGATGATGACTCCTCAGCAACTGAATGAATCTTCTAGTGACGTGTGGTCACAGCTCTGAATCATCACTGTAAAAACCAGTTTGTAGCAGGCTGGGCTGAAGGTACAGGCACCCCAGGGAAGCTGCTTTCCCTGTCTCTGTGAGCTTTTCATTACTGACTCGGCTTCTTTACCCCAGAAGGTAGTTTAGGTCTGGAGCAACTGAGGGCTCCAGACAGATTTGCTTAGTTACCTTTCTGTTTCCCCCCAACCATGTCTCCCCAAGAACTTTAACCATAAACAGTGACACAAATTCACAGTACAAGAAGACTTTAAAAAGCTTTTAAGCTGACGTGATATTGATATAAGAATAGACATAGAATATAATTCAGCAATAGACCTACAAAGATAAGCTCAAATGATTTCAGCGAAGGTGCCAACGTAATTCAATGAGGAATGGGTACACTTTTTAACAAATGGTGCTGGGTAATTTCCACTAAACACAGAACTCCACCCTCATCTTACAAACAAGAAGTAAAGTAAATCAAAATCATAATGAAAACACTACTGTACATATAACACGATGGTTAAAAGGAAAAAGGCCAAAATGCCACATCCTGGAGAAGACATGAGACAAAGAAAAAAATGTGTTGATGGTAGGAATACAGAGTGGTATAGCATTACGTAAAGCTTGGCGGGTTTTTTTTTCCTTTTCTTTCCTGCTTTCCATATTTCCTTTGGTTCTCGGGATTCAACCCAGGGCCTTCACAATACCCAGCCCTTTTAAAATTTTTTATTTTCAGAAAGGATCTAACTCTCTGTAAGTTGTCCAGGATGGGCCTGAACTTTTGATCCTCCTGCCCCAGCCTCCCAGAGTACTGAGATCAAAGGTATGTACCAAAACAGCTGGCCTGCAGTTTCTTTAAAAAGTAAACATATGCCAATTATACATCTAGGAACCCCATCTCTATTTATCCAAGATAGAGAACACATGTCTGTTAAAAAATTTTGAACATTTACAGCAGCTTTATTAAGAGCCAAAACACATAAACAATCCAAATATCCAGTGATGAATGGATAAACAGTGGTACATCTATAAAACGGAATACTACCCAGTAACAAACAGGTATCATCTACTTATAACACACAACATCAATGAATCCCAGAAGCAGTATGCTTATATAACAAACCAGATACAAATGGATGTATGCTGCACGATCCCGTTTCTGGAGCATTCTGGAAAAAGCAGAACAAACGCAATAGAAACCAGATCAGCAGTTGTGAAGGCTGGGCTGGTGGGAACGTTCTATTGCTTGACTATCATCACGGTTATGTGACTGTGTAAATTCGCCAAAATTCAAACTGTATGCTTAAAGAGTGTGTTTTACTGTGAGTTACTTTACATTTGACTTTAAAAATAGCTCTTTCAATCTAAAGCGTGAATCAGGCACTATCAATCATTTTCTGCTTTTTCTGCCAGCTGCAAACTTCACCCTCAGTTCTGGAGCTCCAGTGAAAGCGAGCCAGGGAGAGAGAGCGAAGCAGCAAGAGGAGAAAATGACAGAAAGGAAAATGGAAAAGTGTTTGTAGGGGGAGCTTGCCAGGAAAGATCTATGGAAGAGAACCATTTCGGTATCCATTTTAATTGTGAAGAATTTCTCTTTCAGAGACGTTTTCACACCAGCCCAATGTGGCAGAATTCTCAGGACCAAAAGCTAGAGACAACTCACACCCATTATTAAGGACATGGCAACCTAGATCACAGATGTCAAAAATACATAATTCTGCGCAGGGCTGACAAAGACTTAAATGGCCCGAGTACTGTCGGTCAGACTGAAGGATGCTCACCGCATCTGTGGTATAAGCAAGTCAAGTTGCAGAATGGCACACGCAGCGATCCTGCAAGCAAACAGTAACACCGTACTCCTGTGTAACAGGAAAGAAGTGGGGAATGAGCTGTTAGCAGTGTTCACACACAGAGAGCCCTGGGAGGAAAGTGTGCGGAAAAGGAAGAGAGCTCTCTCTGTTTCTACTTTTTAATTCTGTACAGGTCTCTGGCCTTTTCAATAGACACTTATTATTCCTGTAATAAAAATGAGGAAAAGTAAAGGGAAACAGGAAATAGCAGTAAGAGTTGCCCTGCTTTTAGGATACACATAGTGAAGGGAAAACTCCAGATGTCATGCTACCATCTACTGGAGCCAAAAAGAATCTGCAGGAGGGAAGCGGATGATGTTAGCAGGACTTGGGCAAAATGTCCAGGGCTGGGTACTGCAATAAAAAAGATAAGATAGGAAAGAAAATATTTTGAAGCCAACTGTTTAACTGTTAATGAAAACACTGAAAAAGAAGCAAGCACACAAGCACGATCAAGCACAGAATTAACTTTATAAATTTCTTTTTTTGGTACCGGGGATCGAACTCAGGACCTTGCGCTTGTGAAGCAGGCGGTAGAACCACTGAGCTAAATCCCCGGCTCCACTTTATAAATCTTTTAACAAAAGTGAGACCTGCTAGATAAAACTCAGTCTAAACTTTGACTTTTCAGACCTGTTCTTTTCAGGGAAACTGTCCATTTGTTATTTATAGATATCAATAAAATATTTATAATGAACATTTTGAAATCAATAGGACTGTAAAGTGTTTATATTTTTAACCGTAGGTGTTAGAAAATAAGAACAAATTTACATTAGAAAAACCAAGCCAAAAATCACAGGTCAAAACAGTTCCTTCATCTTCATTAGGCCTTTTTGAGAAATAAACGTGAAATATTCTGAAGTCCAATACAGTTGAGTCAATATATTATCATCAAGTAGAAAGAGGGCAAATAACAACGGTTTCTAGCCTTCATATTAAACAAAGGAGAAATTAAAAAATCATAAAACCTCAAATCCTTTAACACTTAGATTTGTGAAGTTTTCCTTTCAAATTATCAAAACCAAAAAGCCTCCTAAGAAGATAATTAGTTCTTTTTCTAAAGTTTGCTTTCAGTGGTATTGATCTGGCAACCACGCCAAACCCTAAATGAGGGGGAAAGCCCATAAATAATTTACATGTAAAGATAAAAGAAATTTTTAAACAATCCACCCTTGAGCAGAAGAAATTGGGGATCACTTTGAGTGTTAATGTAAAATACATCAGTCTTTAGCAGCGGGAGTCCCAGACCCGCTGGTGCCACGGACGACGTAACAAATAGTCTCCATCTACAAGGGGGAAATGGGCCGCTCAGCGGGAGCTTTCTTCCCTGTTGTGTTATTTATAGGGAGCTCTATTTGTTACCATGTTTCTGCTATCATGGCCAGGGAGGGCTTAATGATTTAAAGGATTTCAGAGACAATTGTTGAATGATACGATGATTTATGTGGGTTCACAAATTCCAGATATACAGCAATTTTGGTTTTCAGGCTGCTATCACTAAAACAGCCATGGGAAATATTGCAAAAAGCAGACCCAGAGAAACTGAGATGGTCCTGGGTAGCATGAAATAAAAAGTTAGAGCTGCTGGAAAACGCTGCGTGAAAAGAAATCAGTGACTGGACCACCGTGCTACTTGTTCGTAAACTGATTTTGCAGAGCCCATTCAAAAGAAGTTTTGTTTTTCAAAATTATTTTTATGGCAAACCATGAATTCACTCCCAAATTGCCTGTGACTAATTTGGGAGTCTGGTCTTTAAAAGACTAAACTGCGGGACCCAACAAGGCACAGAACCTTAAGGAAACGGTGCTTTCACATTAGAGTTATTCCAGTTATCCAAAGAATTTTCTGAAATTTCACATTTATTTTAACGATAAAAGCAAAACTCTCATTTGAGAACAGCAAAGTCATGAAAGCTTCTCTGACATTTAACCCAAAGAGAAAAAAAACTTTGTAATTTTTATTTTTAAGAATTTTAACCATTTTTGCCCTACTGTAAAATAAAAACACACATATCATACCATTTCACATGGAATTATTATCTTCATTTTCATAAAGTTCCACTATTTCCACCAAATTATCTTCTACAAAAGCAGCTTACTGAGATATAATCAGTCAATTCTAAAGGATGTTTTTGACAGCAGAGTCTAAACCTTTGGGGCTAAATGTGTACTTAAATGAAATAAAAATTCAGAAACATACTTTAGGTATAAAAACTATTTTTAAGCAAAATACTAACAAAAGCATTTACTATTTGGGGAGAGAGAACACACTCATTTAAGAGGATGTTTTGATTTTGGAATGATGAAGAAATTCACTTATTCCTACTTAAAAATCACGGATGATTGTATTTGAAACTTTCGAGAACTGTAGTTGAACCAAGGATGGGAGCTGGAAGGAAGATGCTGAGGCTTGGTTACCTCTCCAGCCAAATGCTCTGGGGTGTGTGTTAGTTCTCGCCACCCAAGCTCTCTGCCTTCTCCTTGGGAAAGGCACAAAAGCTCTTCCTCCTCTTCCCAGGTACACGAGAGCCAAGGGCAGCCTGCCCCTGGCTGCTTTCTTCACCTGACACAGAGGTCACCACACCTGGGTTTTGCCCGGAGCACACGGTCTCTTTTCTAGGGGATGAGCTTTCAAATTCCCTGCGATCCAACGAACAGATCGTTCTCCTTTTGGCTTTCTGGGAAGTGGAAGGAAACGGAAGTGACAGCCACACAAGCCCTTGGTTTTCAGAATTTTTTTGGAGCCTTGTGCTCCGCCGCACTTTGGTTTCACTACTGGTTCTCTGGAAGGCTTGCTCTATGGCGTCAGATAAATCTTTACAGAGTTCGGAGTTCCTGAGACTCACTTCTGCAGAGCTTCCCACGCCACCATAGGAAGGACTGTGATTCCCGCTTTGTTGTGAACAGACACTGTGAGCATCGGAGCGGCACAGGGAGAGCTGTCCGCATTTCCCTCCTCTACAACCTGTAACGCTCCCACTTTCTGCTGGCTGACTTTCTGCATCCTCACTGTGGCTTTCAGATTCTTTGCTCTTTTTGATGAGGACATCCTCTAAAGAATTAAATTCTTGCTGTGAGTCAGACATAGAGTTGCACTGCAGTTTTCCCTCTGTAGCTACGAAGTCATCCTGTTCCTTCAACTTTATGTTTATATCTTTTGCAGTTTTAAAGATCTGACAAAGCTTTTCCACAATCTGACCAGCAACAGCAACCTCCTGGAGCTGTGGGATAAGATCAGGTCTCGGATTATCTGACACACGGTGTTCCCTGGTCACAGACGCAGAAGAAGCATGGCTGCTTTCGGTCTCCAACTCAGTTTTGAGTTCACTTTCAAATTCCTGCTCATTTTCTGCCTTTGGAATATTTGCGCTGTCGTCAGTGTCTGCGTTTGCGTCTGAATCTTCATCGGAGGTGGCCATGGGCAGTGAGGAACCTGTCACATCGGAGCAGCAGAGTTCAAAGGCATCAGCTCCATGGAGGCCTTGCTGCAAATGCAAATCTGGGCTCTGAAGCAATAGAGTCTCTCTCTTAGCAGGGGTTTTGAGCAGCTCCAAGTTTCCCAGTTTGCCAGTTGAGCTGAAATCATCTATGGGCATGTAAATAAGTTTAAGTGTAATTAAAGAGTAATGATGGAAATAAGCTTATTAAATATATGGGTGCTCTGTATATAATTATGCCCTATCACAATGGGTTTTAAGCTTTCAAAAACTGTAAGACCTACAAGCGTTACACTGTACCTGAACTCGCCTGTCACTGTATTTCTCTCTCAGTGGTTCCCTAGTGCACAGGTTAAGAAAATAGGCATCGGACACATGAACTCATAAAGCACACAGGCTCAGACCACGAGAACAAGAGCAGTGGCCTAGCCCGCGTCCCCTGCACCCAGGCTCTTCCCACACCACGTGGCAACCACATTTCCCACTGCCCTAAAAACGAATTCCTAAAAACGGGCAACAGTGTCCTCCTGAAACTTGTCTTTCCAGGTTTCCCCCAAATAAGGAGAGAGGATCTGGGGATTCCGAGCTAAGGAATGGGCTCCCTGTCTAAGTTACTGTGAAGAGCACTGCACTCAGAGCCCTGCTCGCCACACTGCCCCCCACACCGCAAACGCATGCGCACACACACTCTGCTCCTCAGTCCCTGCTGAATCTGCAGTTCCAGCAAGTGAGGCCCCATGCGTGGGTTTGGGGCCTTCACAGAAGGTGAAAAAGGCCACAGCGAGGCTGGCAGGTGACACATCCTAAAGGGATTCAGACTCTTTAAGACACCTAAACCTCAACAGTCTTTGACGGTCCTGCTCCCGTTATCTCAGGGAATACATGTCTTCGGTTGGCCGGTTAAATGAGTATAAAAAATTATTTAAACCAAACCAAAATGGAAAGCTATGTAAAAATTAATGGAGCCCAAAGTCTAAAAACCAATGTTTCAAGCTAAAAATACATTCATGACTAGAGTATTTGAAAATCATGTCGGGCCGGGGATTCAGCTCAGTGGTTTCACCGCCTGCTGTGCAAGGACCCGAGTTTGATCCCCGGTACCAAAAAAAAATCATGTCTAGAGATTAACATAGGTCAGGGGCCACTCAATGCCAACAAGTATGTCAGTGGCCTCTTTTATAACTTAAAAAATTGATGTTTAATGCATTTTTCTTAAAACCCAACATGCTAGAAGAAAACGGTAGTGGCAGAGGAAGGGAGGGAGACAGGGAGAAACAAGGTTAGGAAGTAAGAAGATGTCCAGGAAGGAAGGACATCGCCTTAAGCTCTTCTAGTGAGCCAGCAGTATCACTGGTTTTAGATTTTTAAAAATGTGCCAGGTATTGTTTTCCTGGAAAAGCAGACAGCAAAGGGACATCATAGTACATAAACAGCTTGCACCAGACTAAGAAGAGGTGCTGGCAACGCCCATCCCCAGGCCTTGAAGGACAAGGCGGGGGCAGAGGAGTGGCAGGGTGTGTGTGGCTGTGGGGTTCATTATCTTGCTCTGTCCTCAAGGTGAGAAGTTCGAAGAAGCCACGAGTCTACAGTGGCATGCACCTCATTCATCCTCAAACCTCGTAAATTATAAATCCTACACAGAGTAGCACAAATACAAGCCAGGTCATAAATGTCTCACGATTGACACAGGCAGCTATTTTAAAGATGATTCTATATAAAAAAAAGTGTCAACATGCCCAAGTGGGCACGACACGTGTCCTTTTTACATTTAGTGACTGCTGTCAATTTAAAACTCAAGCACTGTAAAGCAAAGGCAGCTCCAATACACTTTTCTTTTTTGGTACCGGGGATTGAACTTGGGTCCTTGCACTTGCGAGGCAGGCGTCAGAACCACTGAGCTAAATCCCTGGTCCTCCAATACACATTTAATCCAATCAGGGTTAACAAACTTGATTTTGGTTTACAAACAGCTTTCAAGGTAATCAAGCTCAGTTTACAGATACTATTTCTGGAGATGTTTGCCTAGCAGTTGCCTTTTGCAGAAGACGGGTGCCGAGCTTGGTAGTACCAACTCTAATGAGGTAGCATGGGGCAAAGTTTTTATTTTTGTTCTCGTGTAAGATCTAGTACCTTGTTCACATTTAATGATGGGCCACAGTACCAAATGGAATTCAAAAAGATGCTCTGAGAAGCAGAAATGATGATGAACAGAAATAATTTCCCCTGAAATGATACACAGAATCTTGTCTGAGCTGTCCGCGGGGGTAAAGGCCTGTAGTCTCCAGACTCTAGGAGGCTGAGGCAGGAGGACTGCAAGTCCAAGCCCAGCCTGGACAATTCAGTGATTGAGCAAGACTCTGTCTCAAAGTAAAAAATTTTTAAAATGGGGGAAGGGGGGATGCTGGGATTGAAGGTCCTGTGCTGTTTTAGGAAAAAAAAAAAAAAAAAATCTTGTGTTGTTTTAGAAAAATGATCCAGAGGTTTCATCACATTCTGAAAAGTCTAAGCTACTTACAAGTTACAAACTTCCTACAGCTTCCTCCACTTAAAATTTTCATAATTAAGTATTGCTATTTTATTTCTGTACTCCTTATGGAGTGAATGCAAAAAGGGAAGAAAGAATCACACAGCAACAAAGAAGGTGAAGACAGAAGATAAAATGTGACTAAGAGGACAAGGACAGATACCTGAATGTGGCCTTCGGATGCCTGGGACTGAAGGGGTCGCCTCAGAGCCCTCGGGCAGCTCAGGAATAGGACTCAGCAGGGGCTTCTTGGAAGCAATTTCTCTTTCTCCATACAAAGATTTCTCAACACTTTTCTTTCCTTTTCTTTTCTTCTTTCTGCCACTTTTAAAAACCTGAAAAGATGGATTAAAATATTGTAACTGAGAAAGCTCTAAGATCACATACAATTTTGAAACTTGAACTTCTAATCAGCTTTAGTTCGGTGATTATATAGTGATTATGTTTAGATGATTTTGACAGGAAAACTTACAATCAGTCATTACATTTAAAATAATAGGCATCTGAGTCACTGGTAAGGACTAAGGTAATATACAAAGTCAGAGAAAATATGAAGCAGAACTCAATTTATAAACTGTACAGTAGCTCTATTTCCACACAGTATTTGCAAATGGATTCAATGCTATAGAGCTAGACAAATGTAGGAGATATGTGTGCCAAGGATGAACTCATGGTGACTCAAGACTGACCCCGTGTAAGTTATCTACTGAAATGCTACAGGGGGCTCCGTTAATGAGCATGGGTGAGGCAACAACAGGTGTGTATGTAAAACTGAAGACAACACAAAGCGAGAGAACTGACTGGTACAGAGATACGGTGAGCAAGATTAAAATGAATAGGTCAAAATAAGATGGGCTTTTTTGGTACGGGGATCGAACTCGGGACCTTGGGCTTATGAGGCAAACACTGGAACCACTGAGAAGATGGGTTTTAATAAGCACAAATAGAAGATGGGGGTCAAAGGGTTAGCAAAATCCGATTTTTTATAAATATCAGTTTCTATAAAAATTAAAAATTGCTTTAGTAATTTCCAGAATGCAGTATCACATACGACTGAGTGCTCTACCAGCAACTGAGAAATAATGTCCTATGCTTGTTTAAAAAAGAAAAGTTTCACATAGAAAACACTTCAGGGAAACTCAAACACTACATTGAAATACCAGAAAGACTTATGGACAAAAGTAATGAAATGTATTCACTGCGGTAATGTTGGAGGGAACCAGATGTCAAGCTACCATCAAAACCTGTTTCGTTTTTCTTTTTGTGGTACATGGGATCGAACTCCGGTCCTTGCACTTGTGAGGCAGGCAGCGGAACCACTGAGCTAAATCCCCAGCCAAAGTATTTTTGTTTGTTTGTTTGTTTTTGGTACTGGGGATCAAACTCGGGACCTTGTGCTTGCACAGCAGGCGCTGGAAACACTGAGCTAAATCCCCGGCCCAAAACCTGCTTTTAACAATTAATGTTTTCACAAAGTAGAATTCATTCAAATATTTCTGAAGAAACTGCTATGTGCCAGTTAATGACATGGTAGGTGTGGGCCCCAGAAACCACACGGGATGTGGTCTTTGAGGAGCTTCTGGTCTAGAGGCAAACAGTTTCAACACTTCTACCATGACTGACTGTGTGGACTGAGAAGATGGGTATTTGGTCGACAGCAGTATTCATGATGGGATCCACAGAAAGATGTCCAGGTAAAACCTCACACATATGAGAGTGGTTCTGGCTGATCAGAGGTCTAAGCAGAAGGGCCTCTCAAAGAGAAGGGAAGCAGGAGCGCATAGCCAGGCAACACAGACCAAGAGCTGCACCTAGCCATGCACAGCCAGGACGTCCGCACAGGAGCAGCAGATGCCAAGCCCACAGGCAGGCCTTGCGGCAATGACTGAAATGAGAGCAAGCCCCCTGCACTGCCCTGTGCTTTGGGTGTGAACACCTCCGGGCTTACACAGGGAAAGATCATCTGGGTGACGGCACACGAGATTTAGGAGAAAGTAATGGTGTGAAGAGTGGCTGAGATTCAGGAGTACAGAAATAGCACAGAGCGGTGTGTTCCTTGAGCTATGTATAGACATCTTATAAAAACAAAAGCCCACATTCCGTGCAAAAATAATGTTACACTGCTACAAGACGAATGCTCCTCTTGGTGATATGCAATACAAATTTAACACAGAATTCTGAGAAGTTCTCAGTGTAAATAATCCCTACACACCTCATTTTCCATTACACATTTTTTTCATGGAACATCTGCTGACAGACACTCCATGGAAAAGCTGGGAAAATGCTGGCTGGGTCAATGGAGGTGGAGACCAACAGAAAATAAAAATCTTTAGGTGCGGTTGGTTCACAGAGGAGTTGTGAAAGAGAAACAATTTTGCCTCGGGTGCCAGATACCTCGGGTTCAAGTCCTGACTCTGCTACTTAACTGCTTTCCAATCTTAGGCAAGTAATCGGAACTCCCCTTTCCCCCCTCCCTCTCTGCAAGGCAGGAATCACAGCAGCGGACAGCACACAGAGCCGTGGCTTCCAGAGGGTTAACATGTGAAATGGTCAACACAGGGCTCAATCCTCATGAAGAACTGTGCCGGCTGCTCTTGTTCTAACTTCCTGTTGATTTGAGAATTGTTATGGGAATGAAAACTTTAAAAAAACTTAATTGCCAACAATTGTATATTTTACGGTGAGCAACATGATGTTTTGATATCGGATGGAGACCACCCTGCGCGAGCTACAAGTTCATAAATTGGCTTTTCATTTTAAAAGTCTGAGTCTGCCTATTGGCCCACAATGGCTTGCCTGAAGAGCCAGCACTTGGAGTGTGGGAACGGAACAACTCGCCTCACCACAGCGGAGGTCTCAATGATCCGTGACGCTGTGACGTCCTGGATGGCAAAACAATATTGCAGCTAAGGGCGACATGACTCGTACACAAAATTCCTAAAGAAGCAAAAATTAATCTACGGAAAAAACCAAATTTCTGCTCCTGCTAAAATGTTCTGTTCCTCTTTGGCTAGGACTCTGCTTGCATCAGTGCTCTCCGATTCACTGTTTCCCTGCCTGGCCCTTTACCCCTTCAAGAAGCTGTGTGTTCAAAAAGTAGTGATGGGCTCCGGGACCCTGATAAGAACTCTGACCATCCTGGGTCCCGCTTTATGCAGTGAAGATTTTGTCTTTTGTTATCCTGCCGCTGTAGCCTTGGTTAGGTGGTTGGGGGTCTGATCAGCCCCCAGCAGATATCTGTATACAGTACAGAATGGCTAACAAGCTACTTAACATACCCATTGTCTCGAATATTTTTAATATCCAATTATGCTACTAATACTTGTGGGACACAGGCCCTACACTGTCAAATGGTCAATGTCACCAGTTTATAACCTCTAGAATGGTTTCTGATTTATAGATGAAGAAAAAAAAAAAAAGTCCCCCCTTGGCATGACTTTGGAAAACTATTTAGGCAAGATGGCCCCTGCGCCTACAATAGTGGCCCACATATGGTGACTCATATGAATGAATGGAAGAATGTCAAAAAAAATGAAGCTTACATAAAATTTGACATATGTAACTGAAATACTGTTTCTTCACGGCCACAGGTCAAGAGAAGTACACCGCCAAACAATATAGCCTGTCATTGTCTGTCCTGAAAACATATCGGTACTGACCACGAGAAGATTCCTCGGCAAAGGCTGGATGCTGATGGAGCCTTCAATTTGTCCCAGTGCAGAAGCCTGGCCTGTAATGTAACCAACAGAAGCCACACCTGATTGGAACTCTTCAGGAGGCCATGTGATCCAAAAATGGTTGGGCTGGCTTATGATTCAGAGCAGAAAAAGGACAACTGAAGGTACTGCCCCTAAAGCAATCCCATTTCTCCAGAATCCCAAACGTACCATACCAGAAATGTATCATCAGAGGCTGTGCAGTGAAGTAAGTACACGTTTATTGTTTCATTTGCTTAATTAAGACTTAAATTGTTTTCAGAGAACAGCTTTAAAATCATTTAGAAAACTGCTGGGTGTGGAGGCTTGCGCCTGTAGTCCCAGCACTCCAGAGGCCGAGGCAGAAAGGTCACGTGAGCCTGAGTCCAAGGTTGGTCTGGGCAACACAGCAAGTCCCCACCTCAAAAAAAAAAAAAATTCAGGTGCATGCAACCAATCAACTTCACAGGAAGGCTCACGGTGGTAAAGCACACACTTCCCTATCCCTCAAGTCTAGTTACTTATTACTGGCCATTTTTAGTTCTTGTGGCCAGTTCCTTCTCTCCAAGTAACTGCCGTGTTTCCAACTTTTTACAATCCCAACTCCCAAACACCCTGAATGTACTAAACAGTATACTGAGCCCCATGTACCATTGACTAATTCCAACTTCCCTTACGTTTTAAAGTTGTGAACTTGCATGTTAGCTGCTAGGTCATATTTGTGTTTTAATGCACTGCAAGTCTTATTTCTGATGGCCAAGTCATCTCCTTTTGGCCCGTGTCCTCCAGACTGCACTCCCACACTTTCTGCACCTGCTGTTGTGAGTGGGAAAGGAACCCTTTCGCCTTGGCACCCTGATCCCCTGTGGGGGCCAGCGAGACTGGCTCATTCTAAGTATTACTGGTGGACAGACCTGGGAAGTTCCTCTAAGTGGAAAGCAGCGTAACGAATTCATTCTGATATTTCCAATCCAAAATTAGTCTTAAATGTAGTTTGAAACAATTTTTTTTTGTAGTGCTCTCTAGGATGGTCTGGAACACTTAATCCTCCTGCCTCTGCCTCCCAAGTGCTGGGATTACAGGCATGTGCCACCATGCCCAGCTTGACTTACTAAAATTTTATCTTTTGTTTCATAGTAAAGTCTTTCTTACGATACAAAACTGCTTTTGCTTTACTCTAAATTGAACTGTGTCAATATCGATGTTTCATACTGCTTGATTTCTTTGTAGGTACTGTATTTTCTGTCTTTATCGCACTATGACAGTGGTACCTCGGTTCACAAACTCAATCCTCTACATGACTCTGGCCACAAACCCAACTGGATGAGAACCGAATCAAGTTTCCCCATAAGGTCAACACTGATCCTAACCATTGAATGTTTTGGTTTTTTTTTGTACTGGGGATCAAACTCAGGACCTACTGAGCTAAAAAATAAATCCCTGGCCCCTAACCATTGAATGTGATTCAGTTCTCGTCCAACTCGGTTTGTGACCAGAATCATGGAAAGAATCAAGTTTATGAACTGAGGTACACTGTACAGTATTTAAATTTCCAGGTTTGAAAAAAATCCTGCGAGGTTGGGCTACCAACTTGAAACTGTAAGATGTTTCATTCTACTTCCAAGTTTTAGGGATAGTAC